TACTGATTTTACTATATGATTGACATAGCATGTTTTCTGTACAACAGACTTTGAAGGAAGAATTGAATACAAGATTAGTGTTGTTAAGTATTAGCTAAGCCGAACCAAACCGAACTGGACCGATGGGACCAGTTTGGTTTGACTTGAGGTATACAAGTTTTTGATTCGGTTTGACTTGAAAAATTTCAAGTCACAGTTTAGCTCAACTTGAAGATATAAAGTCATTGGTAAGTCAATGGGGTTGATGGAATTTGGTCACATGCCCATCAAATTTGATTATCAGAGATTTTTTTAATCAACAATTTTAAGTTATACAACATACAAATTAAGAAATAACTCTAAACATTGTAGTCGAACAAATTATAATTATATTTTTACTAATTATGTTTAGAAACAATTGTATAGATGAGATTATCATCATTATATTATTTTAAACAAATAAAGATATATTTTTAAAGTATTTGTTCGTAAGAAAGCATTTAATTTGTAATTCTTTATGCCTGATTTTATATTTTTTTTTATCACAAACAAAAAATGACTGATGATGCCAATGAAACAGAGCAACCATTATCTGAAACATCTCAAGAGAATGCTCAAGAAAATCAAGAAATAATAACTGGGAAAGAGATTTCTGGTATTGTTAAAAAGAAAAATATACCACCAAGTAATACTTGGAAGCATTTCGAAAAAATATTTGATAATAATGGAATCCATTTACATTCAATATGTAATTATTGTAATCAAAAATATGCTGCAAAATGTTCTACAACAACTCTCACTGAACATTGGAAAAAAATCATGAAACAATTCAGCCAAGAAAAGAAGGTTCTATTGAAGCAGCATTTAAAGGGAAAATGAAGTTACAAGGACAAGATCATTTAGATATTTCTAATAATCTTGTTGATTGGATTATTACAGAATGTTTACCATTCAGAACAGTAGAAAGTGTTTCCTTCACATCAAACATTACATAGCAAAATTGGTGCCAAATATATAGAATACAAAAGCAATATGTGTAAAATATTCCAGGTATATTTTATTATTATTATTATTATTTATATTATTTAAATTTTCATAATAATTGTTGTTATTATTTAGGAAAATAATTCCAAGCAGTGTGTGAAATTGTTTGCGGGCGCGTGTGTTACATTAAAGGTAGCCAATAATCTCTTAGCAGGATTTGTGCAGAAAATTCGTGTAACAAAATTGAAAAAAATTAATTTTTATTATTACGAACATACATGTTGGTGAAATTCAATCAGAAAAATTCAAAACTTTCGAAAAAATACAATTAATTTTCGAAATCGAAATACCCTAGCGAAATCAAAATCAAAATCGAAATTCGAAATCAAAATCAAAATCAAAATCGAAATCTAAATCAAATTCGAAATCTAAATCTAAATCAAAATCTAAATCAAAATCTAAATCAAAATCAAAATCAAAATCTAAATCAAAATCTAAATCAAAATCAAAATCAAAATCTAAATCAAAATCTAAATCAAAATCAAAATCAAAATCAAAATCAAAATTCAAAATCAAAATTCAAAATAAAAAATCTAACAAAGTCTAATTCAAAATCAAAATCAAATTTCAAAATCAAATTTCAAAACAAAAAATCTAACAAAGTCTAATTCAAAATCAATAAATCACTTTATTAAAATTTTAATAATTAAAAAACATTGATCAAAAGCAATTATGATTATGTGTCTTCAAATTCAGCTAAAAATTCTTGGACAATATCTTCAGCCAGATAATTCATTGTTTCAACTCTTCTTTCTTGAGTTCCTTCATTAATGATAGCATTCTCACTCGTATCAAAAATTGGATCATTTAAATTTACAATATCTTCAATTTTTAATATATCTATATCACTCTCTTCATTTTCATCATTATTATCTAAATAAGTAATATCATCTGATTCATCTTGTTCATAATGTGAATTTAAAAAGTGATTTTCTTCTTCAGTTCCTATTTCATCTAAATTCATTGTGGACAAAATGCAATTCAAAGTTGTTTCTCTTTCTGTGATATCTTTTCCATAATAATTAAACTCTTTTTTTGCATTACTAACATAATAAGAATGGATTTTAGCTAAATTTTCAATTGTTGTAGTAGATAACCTGCTCCTTCTTTGTCCATAAAACCATCGTAAAATAGAAAAAGTTCTTTCAGCACTAGCTGTGTGTGGAGTAACAGAAAACAATTTGATTGCCAATCTTTGTAAGTGATTATAATCATCTTCACATGTAGACCACCAATTTATTGGATTATCAAGTTTAGAATATGGACTATCATATGGTGCTTCATGTAATTTATATTTTCTTAATTGGCAAAGCAATTCTGAACACGATTCTGCTCCATTACCAAAATCTTGCCAAAGTTTGGCTGCAATTGTAGTAATATTTCTAAATTGTCCTCGTTTCAATAATAAAAATAAGAACAATATTAAACAAAATAATAATTAATTATAAAACATTTACCATGATACATTGGGTGTAAAAAATATGCTAGTAGATATCCATTATATTCTCCAAAGTCAATAAATCGTTTATTATACACTTTATAGCAATAAATTTTTAATTCTGGATTATTTTCAGAAGATAATTTTTTAATTGCAACACCAATATGACACATATGAATGAAGCAATCAGCCAAATTAGCATGATTAGTTTGCATTGAAACAACAGCTTCTTTTATAGGCTTCAGAACTTCACATAAAATTTCTACATCTGAAAAAAAATTGCATTGTTGTAATAAACTTAAAACATCTCCATTTGTTATAACTGTAGGATTTTCTGAAACAATCTTTAAACAAAAACAGTGTCAAATTTATATATATATCAAGTTAAAAAGTTCATAAAACACATCAAAAAAATATTTACCCATTTCAGACCATTTTCTAGTCTCTTCACAGAATTTAAACAATCCCATGCAGAAGACCATCTTGTTTTAATATATGTCTTTAAACCACCACCTGAAATTTCAAACCTTTGAATGGCTTCTTTCAAATAATGATTTCCTTGGTGAGAATGACTAAAGAATGAAATTACTTTTGAACAATTGTGAAGAACATTATAACCCCACAAAAAGTTTTTCTTTTTGTCAACAATATCTTTGGTTATTAAATTTATAGAATGCGTGATGCATCTCAAATTTAAGATATTTGGGTATTTTCTATTGATAATTTCTCTTGCCACTCTGACATTTCCAGCTCCATCTGTGACTACACCAGAAAATCTTTCAATATTATTTAAAACCAATGTTTGTTCTATTTCATTTGCCAAAAAATCAGCTGTATGAGAAAATTGAGAATAATCCATTAACTTTAACAAATACTCTTAGCCATTTGAAGTCAATGCTACATAGTTATATATAGATCTTCCAGCTGGATCTGTCCATCCATCCATTGCTAAATATAAAAGAAAATCATAATTTAAACAATATCAATTACACAATTCTCAAAATAAAAAATCCAATTGATTAATAAGTAATATTAATGATTTCCTTTACCTAAAGTAATGTTATTTTGCTGTTTTAATTCCAATTCAACTTTTACGTTCACATTTGCTACTTCTTCATTAATAAAATCTTTAGACAACTTAAATCTAGAAGGTAATTTGTATGCAGGTTTTAATTGATTAACAAATTCGATAAAAAAGGGGTTTTCTACTAAAGAAAAAGGTAACCCACAGCAAACAAACATTCTTGTCAATGCTTGATCAATTATTTTTTGTTTTTGAGATGTGATGTTTGTTGTATCATAAAAATTATTCAACTCTTTTTGATTATTATTTTTTCTTTTCTTTCTATCTTGAATATTGTTAGACAAACTTCTTGTTCCAAGAATGTTCGAAGAATTTGAAGAATTTGAAGTTGTTAATGAATCTGTTGCATCAAAAAAATTATCATCTTGGTGTTTGCATAAAATAATTTCAAGAAAAACTTGTTTTACATCAACAGGTACATTTGGACATCTATTTGCTAAATGTTCTTGCATTAGCTGTGGACTTCCTTTTGTTCCATTGTCATTACAATATATACATGTGGAATCGTACTTGCCAGGATACCTTTCTGTACCTTTATTAAAATGTGTCCAAACAATATTAGGAGGTCTTCCAGCATTCTTAGAATTTGGAAAATAAAGACCTCGAGAATCAAAATTACTTGTCATATCTTAATTTTTATTTAAGAATTTTATTTTAGAATGAATGAGATTTAAAATATAGATATGGAAATCTGTGACACAATTGAATTTCGAATTGGATTTCAAATTTCGAATTGGATTTTGAATTTTGATTTAGATTTTGAATTTTGATTTAGATTTTGAATTTTGATTTAGATTTTGAATTTTGATTTAGATTTTGAATTTTGATTTTGATATTGTATTTCGAATCTTGGAAATTTTAATTGGTTAAATTCGAAATTCCAAGATCCTAATTTTCGAAATTATTTTCGAAATACAGATATTTCGCTCACATGTATGATTACGAATATACTTTTATTGATGTTTTTAGGCAGGGTCTGAAATTTGTTCTGGAAAAAAACCGGTTGTACTTAAACCAACCGGATTTTAGAATTTTCAATCGGATTTTTTTTCCGGTTCAACAGTTTTAAACCGGATTAATGAAAATACTAATATTTGAATTTAATAATGTTTGCAAAATTATATTTTGCATAATTTGTTAGTATAATGTGTCATGAAATTTTGAAATGTAATTTTTGGTAGTGTCATAAAAAATTTATGTAATTTTGCATTTGATGTGTCATGAGAATTTGAAATGTAATTTTTGGAAAAATTTATGTAATTTCACATTTGAATTGTATAATAATATTAATAATAATGTGTCATGAGAATTTTGAAATGTAATTTTTGGTGAAAAATTTATGTAATTTCGCATTTGAATTGTATAATAATATTAATAATAATGTGTCATGAGAATTTGAAATGTAATTTTGCATTTGGATTGTATAATAATATTAATAATAATGTGTCATGAGAATTTGAAATGTAATTTCGCATTTGAATTTAGTATAATGTGTCATGAGAATTTTGAAATGTAATTTTTAGTGAAATTTCAAATTAAGTTAGCAAACAATTCCAACACTAATATTTTTTTTTATTTTGAATTTTAGTTATGTTCCATGAAAGATTTTATTATAAAAGACAAGATGAAAAGACAGTTGTTTGTTTTATATAGCAAAAAATTTTATAAATATGTCTTTATATCAATATGGTTTTGTAAGAAATAAAGAATCATCTTCTACTTCAGAAATAAACATAAATGAAGAAAGGTCAGACAGCAGTATTATTGAATGTTGGAATTAACTAATTAAATAAAAATTTTCATTATATATTTATTTAATTTTATTTTATATAGTGTTATTATGGATGATGATAATAATATAATTGTGGATGTTGATGATGATAATATAATTGTTGATAATGATAATAACATGATTGTTGATGATGATAATAATACAATTGTTGATGATGATAATGATTGTGATGATGATAATTTCGAAGTTGAAGATACAGGATCTAAGAAAAAAGTGCTTAAAAATAAATCAGATAATAAACAATTCCAATATTCTTGGCTTACTGAATTTCAATGGTTAAGATACAACACTGATAACAAAATTATGTATTGTATTTATTGTAGAAATCATAATATTAAAACCACTGCATTTGGTAAAAATGGATCTAAAAATATTTCAAAAAAATCTGCAATAGTTGAACATTCAAAATGTAGTTCACATAAGCAAGCATTACAATTAGAAGCCTCAAAAACTCAAATGGAAGTTATATTAGATAAATCATTTGATCAATCTGCTAAATACATTGTTGGCCTTATGAAAATTGCCTTTTTATATGATCAAAAATAATGTACCATTTTCAAAATTTTCTTCACAAGTAGAACTTGCCATAGCATTAGAAGCACCAGATATTGTCAGTGAAAATTCAACCAATTATATAAATGTGAAATCTGCCAATGAATTTCTTAATTCATTCTCTGACATAATTTATGATAGATTGTGGAAAAATTTATTTGATACAGATTTTTTTAGTATAATGATAGATGAGAGTACTGATATTACAGTGGAAAAGCATTTGGTTGTTTATCTAACTTATATTAAAAGTGATGGTATCATTAGAACAAAATTTTTAGCACTTTTTCAACTAACTTCTGGTGATGCTCATACAATTAGCAGTGTTTTGATTAATTTATTTGGGAAACATGGTTAGTTATTTTAAATTTTTAAACAATATATATCTTTACCAAACATTCATCAATTAATTTAATTTTTAGATATTTTAAACAAATTAATTGGCTTTGCTTCAGATGGAGCAGCTGTCATGTTGGGAAATAAAAGTGGTGTTGCTAGAAGATTATTAAAATATTGTCCTTATTTAGTGGTTAATCATTGTGTTGCACACAAGTTAGCTTTAGCATGTAAAGATGCAAGTAAAGAAATTGAATTTTATGAAAAGGCAGAAGAATTAGTGGGTAGAATATATAGCTTTTTCAAAAAATCAAGTTCTAGAACTCAAGAACTTAAAAACTATCAGGAATTATTAGATTGTCCAAAATATAAAATTAAAAAAATATATAAAATCAGATGGTTATCATGGTATGAGGCAATAAAAAATGTTTGTGATACTTTACCAGCTTTAATTGAGATGTTATCAAATGATTATAGTGAAGTTGCTGTGAATTTATATGAAGATTTATGTAGTTGGAGAATGATTGGATTTTTCTATTTTCTTTACGATATATTATCTTATTTAACCCAGCTGAGCAAATTTTTTCAAAAAGAAAATTTACAATTTTGTGACATTCAACCTATGATTGAGGGAACAATAAAATCAATTGAAAAAGAATATATTCATATCAATGATATTCAACATTTTTTTGGTGCAAATTTCCAAAACCTAATGGTCACTACAAATCCATTCAATTCTTCACCTAATATTGGAGGTCATTTATTAAAATTCACAGATGAAGATTATGATGATTTATTAGTGGATATCTGTAGATATTCATCATCTGTTGTGGAAGAAATCAAAAATAGATTTCCAAATGTTGAATTAATAGATTCTTTTAAAATACTTGATCCAAGAGAATGGAATCTTACAAATGATAATATTTCAAGTTATGGAAGAAAAGAATTGAATATTTTGTTGGAACATTTTGCAAAAGAAAAAGAATCAAATAATAAATTTTTTGATCCACTGATCAAAAAAAATGAATGTCAAAATGAATGGATGGTTTACAAAACAATAATTAAAAATAATTTTGATAAAATGAAGATTGAAACAATTTTGCCAATTTTGATAAAAGAATATTTAGATGTGTTTCCAAATATAATTAGATTGATAAAAATTGCATATACAATACCTTTTTCAAGTGTACCATGTGAAAGAGGATTCTCAAAACAGAATCTAATAAAAACAAAAAATAGAAATAATTTGTCAATTGATACTTTAGATAAACTGTTACGAGTTTCATTAGAAGATGAATCAGTAAAAAATTTTGATTATAAATCTGCATATCATAATTGGAACTCTCAAAAAAGAAGATATTTTATTAAATAAATAAATTAGATATTTTATTAATATTAAATAAATACAGTACATGTTATATGTAACAATTAACAATTTAATCAATATTATTATTATACCAAATACAGTCAGGATTATTACCAAATTTGGAAATCGAATCTAGAAAAATTGGAACTCCTTTGTCGATCAATTCATATG